GAACTTCATTTTCTGCAGCCTCCACAACTGGCTCAGCCTCAGTAGTTGGTGTGGCCCCAACACTTGGTTCTTCTTTTAACATCTGGAAGTACTGCCTTGCAGGTCCTGAACCTTGTGACCCTTTTAGCAATGGGAAGGCCGTCGTTGTTGTCGTCGTCTGAATCTGAGGAAAGTCTGATGGCAGTAGAAGAACCTCCGGGGCTGGTGGCATGGCCGGTGGGCCCTGAAAAGAAAAAAGGTTATGTGATTACCAAAGTAAATGTAAGAAGTCCAAGGAAGCAATGCAAAATATTTTCTAAGTATGGGTACGTTTTGGGAGTCTCTTCCTACTTGGTGAGGCACGTGCCTCGGCAACTGATGCTGCTGCCTCTTGGGCTGTCCTTAGTCTGGAGCGGGTTGTCCGTAATTGTCGTGCCGACTTAAGGGGGAGCAATTTGCTCCAGACGGGCGAGGCTTATCCATGGTAGTGAGGGATAGAAGCTTGAAGCGACAGAATATATTGGTCTGTTTCCCTCGGCCAGAGGGCAGACGAAGAGATAAGTCAGGCTGCGGGATGGGTTCCATCGTAGGGACTACGGGAGCACTGTTGCAAAAGTTGAAGAAACAATTGAGTTTGTGGAGCCAGAACAACCTTTTATTGGGAGTAAAGGCGCCTTCTCTTCCAAGTGAGGGTAGCTCCATGAAGCCTAAGCCCTCCACAAGTAGAGCGGTATAATCACGGGCAGATCGCTGAAAGCTCTGGTGGTAATCAGTCTGAAGCGGAGGGGCATGTGGGACGCCTTGATCCATGCCGAACTGCTCAGGGACCCTGTCCGGTCAATAGATGACGCTGGACATGCCCTCCTCGTTCCACAAGGGTAGAAATTCGGGGCGTATCATAGCAGCAAATAAGAAGGGAGTTGGCCTGGACACTGTTGAGGGAGAAATCAACATGGCGAGCCTCGGAAAAATAGAATGGAACCACATAAATGCCTGAAAGAAGCTGAGTGAAAGGGCGGAACACACATTCCTCTATGCGGTCTTCATAATCTGCAAAAGGTCTGTTCGTGCCATGACCAGACCACCGAGAGATGTGAGGGAGGAAGGGAGTGGCGCACTTGCCTCTTAACAGGTCGACCTTTTGCATCTAGAACAGGACGACCCTCTGCATCAAGAACTTCGTCTGTGAAGAAAGGCTCATGTTCTTTAGGGACGGGGCCCGTGGCAGGGAATCTCTCATAGAAGAAAGTGGTCAGGAACTGAGTGTGTACAAAGCTCTACACATCATAGTGGGCCCATGGATTGCTCTATGTCCGAATGGATGAGATCAAGGTGGAAGTATAAGTTCCCCAAGAAGAGGGGGGCCAGAGGGATTTGGTTGCCGCTGCAAAGTTTGATAACCAAAGGGAACACGAAAGGGTTAATACTCTTAGTAGGGTTGTTGGGGAGAACAAAAAAAAAAAAATGAAGTAACTGACGAAGGCGGCCAAGTACAAGTCGCTGCGGTAGCCTGGCCCAACTGCAGAGTTGCGACTCTCCTTTGTGATGTCGGTCATAACTGGTTGCAGGTCCTTGAAGAAATGCTTTAGCCAGAAAGATAAGAGGTTTTGTCCCTCTTGGGCCTCTCCTGGAGTAGTTCCCCTGTCCTGCAGGGTTGTTGGGGAGAAAAAAAAAAAAAAATGAAGTAACTGACGAAGGCGGCCAAGTACAAGTCGCTGCGGTAGCCTGGCCCAACTGCAGAGTTGCGACTCTCCTTTGTGATGTCGGTCATAACTGGTTGCAGGTCCTTGAAGAAATGCTTCAGCCAAAAAGATAAGAGGTTTTGTCCCTCTTGGGCCTCTTCTGGAGTAGTTCCCCTGTCCTAAGATCAGACCAAGAGCCATACTTCCACGCCTCTCGAAAGGCTCCTTGGAGGGCAGTGACAGAAACTTCTTTTGCAGGAGTTAGGGACGCTGGATCGAAGAGGTGATCTCCACGAGTGCTCAAGCGTAGAAGGACGGCAACATCTTCGAGGGTTAGAGTTATCTCCCCCCATGCCAAAGAAAAAGTGTGAGCGTCACGGCTCCAGCGAGAGACAACCATATCAGTGTTGGTCTGTACTTTGCGCACTGATAACACCCTCAAAATCGAAATGGCATTGTAGAGACGAACATCCCGTAATTGCTGCTCGAACCCACCATCTGCAATGATGTCATCAACCCAGAGGGACCAGCCTGTTGAAGGGCCTGAGTGAGTGTAATAGTAGATGTATGAATGGGAAAAGTCACCACGCTCCACGTGAAACCTCAGCACAGAAACTGGGTTCACCATGTCAGCATCATCCAAAGCAGCCTCACTAAAAGGAAGCAGAGGCTCCCCCAAAGGAAGGGCATCAGGAACGAAGAAGTCAACGGCTTTCCAGAAAGGGTCAGCTAGCCTTCCGAAGTATGAGGCCCTCCTCCTCCACTCAGTAGGGGGTGGGTCAGCCCTGTCGGGTAGAAACCTTGTGCGGGCCATAAGGAAGTATAAAGAAAAGTAAAGAAGACTTTGGAAAGTGCGGCACTTTCCACGAACTTGCTAGGGGTGGTCATAATCTTCTTTGTAGTAAGGTCGCAAATGAAGCTGGCGAGTGACTCCAGCAGTGCTGTCTGCACCATAGATCCAGGAAAATTAAAAGCAGGAAAGGTGCCGAGGTGCAGCTCCTGGATGCGGGGCGAGAGTGGGAGCAGCTGCGGAGGAGACCCAGTAACTTAGAAAAGAAATTTCTCTAAGGGCTGAGGGGACTCCCTCACACCCCTGCCAACTTCAATCACTGGAGGGGGACTGGTGGAGGGACCAAAGATCTAAGGACGATGCACTTCCCTTGAAGATGATTTCCCAGCAGCATTGGAATAGGTAGATGCAGCGTTGGCAGCCGGGTGAACTAGCCTCGCGAGAAAGACTAAAGCTGCCTGCACCGTCATGTCGCTCCGAAAAGAGGTCATCCATCTGGTAGTCTCCAACGTTCAGATCTGGAACAGCAGTGGTATCCATTCCAGTATAAAAAATTTGGGATAACCCAAGGTCAGCTGGCACTTTCGGAAAGTGAGTGGGGTACAAGTCTGCCGTGAGAGAGAGAGAGAGAGAGAGTTGCGTCTCACTGGTGCATGGGATTCCCTATCCTCAGGGGATGCAGTCATGCTTTGTACATCCTCTGTACCTGGGAGCACATTTAGTGTACTCCATTACCCATGCCTCCAGTCTTTGGTTAGGTCTTGTAATGACCATCACTGTCAGAATCAGCAGAGGCTGCCACTTGGCAAGCCCTCTTCTGTGCTGCGTTTCTATACACCAGGAGGTCTTCTTCACCATCATGAATGTAATGGTAATCTTAATAGCTCTCTCCTAGTGAAAGGTTTTGCAGCCCGTGCTATCTTTTCTGACTATTATCTTTCTTACTTTTCCATCTGGTGTTATTTGAAATCTTTTCATCATCTTGTCACCTATCCCTACCCTACTTAGAACAGAATTAGCGAGGTTTGGAGGCTCTGCACCCTCCAACTAGGCCGCCCGCAACAACTTCCACAACAGGGGAAACTTCATTTTCTGTAGCCTCCACAACTGGCTCAGCCTCAGTAGTTGGTGGGGCCCCAGCACTTGGTTTTTCTTCAACATCTAGAAGTACTACCGACAAAGGAACGGTCGGAGTGCACAGAATCAGCGGGGTTTGGAGGCACTGCACGCTCGAACTAGGCCACCCGCAACAACTTTCACAGCAGGGGGAACTTCATTTTCTGCGGCCTCCACAACTGGCTCAGCCTTAGTAGTTGGTGCGGCCCTAGCACTTTGTAGTAGTTGGTGCGGCCCTAGCACTTTGTTCTTCTTCAACATCTGGAAGTACTGCCCTGCTGGTCCTGAACCTTGTGACCCTTGTAGCAATGGGAAGGTCATCGTCGTTTTCGTCGTCTGAATCTGAGGAAATTCCAATGGCAGTAGAAGAACCTCTGGGGCCGGTGGTATGGCCGGTGGGCCTTGAAAAGAAAAAAGGTTATGTGATTACCAAAGTAAATGTAAGAAGTCCAAGGAATGTGATTTCCAGTTAGTGATGCTTCCAACCCAATTTGCATCCGTATGTACTTCCACTTGAAGATGTCCTTGTTTTTTAAATATCAAGCCTTTATCAGGAGTTCTCTTTAGATACCTTAGGATCCTGTATGCTTCTTCAAAGTTCTCCTTTCTTGGTGAATGCATGAATTGGCTTACTCTGCTTACTGCGAATGCTATGTTGGGACGTGTGTGAGATTGGTATATCAGTCTTCCAACAGGTCTCTGAAACTGGTCTATATTCACCACATCTTCAATTCTAGCATGCTGTAGTTTCAAGCAGCTTTACATCCAAGCAAGCCTGCTTTTTTGAGCAAGTCAATTGTGTACTTGCGCTAAGTGACAAAAATGCCCTCCTTAGATCTAGCGAACTCCATTCCAAGGAAGTATCTTAGTGCTCCAGGACCTTTATCTCGAAATCTTTAGCAAGTCCCTTCTTTTACTTTTTCGATTCGGCACTATCATTACCTGTTAGAATTATGTCATCTACATAAACAATCAAGATAGCTACTTTATCTTCTCTTGAGTGTTTATAGAACACAGTATGGTCTGCTTGGCTTTAACTGTATCCAAGGTTTTTTACAACCTTCCCAAAGCGTTCAAACCACGCCCTTGGGGATTGTTTGAGGCCGTATAGAGACTTGTTTAATTTGCAGACTTTATCTATACCAAACTTCTGTTCAAAACATGGAGGTAGGTTCATATAGACTTCTTCTAGATTTCCATTTAAGAAGGCATTTTTTACATTTAATTGATGTAGAGGCCAGCTGGAATTAACTGCTAGTGACAGTAAAACCCGAATTGAGTTCATCTTGGCAACTGGAGCGAAGGTTTCTTGGTAGTCAATCCCGAGGGTTTGTGTAAACCTTTTTGCCACGAGTCTCACCTTATATCTTTCCACGCTACCATCAGCTTTGCACTTCACTGTAAATACCCATTGGCACCCTACTGTCTTTTTGTCCTTAGGCAGATTGACAGATGTCATATAGCATTTTATGCATAATATGAGTTTGATTATTAAATATGCTTATGGGTGAATGTCCATCTACACATCGTACACCTGAGATCCTTACCCACGTAACATAGGTTGTGACCTAACCTACTCAATCATGACATGACCTATTGATGCGGAACGCATCACCTATTCATGGGCTCTTTGGGTTTATATGGCTTTGTGGTTAGAGCCAAGAGTTTTCCATGGTGTATTCCCTTTTCAAGACTCACACCTTGACCTTGAGGTGGCCAATCTCTGTGTGTGTGTGTGTGAGAGAGAGAGTGAGAGAGAGAGAGAGAGAGAGTTGCGTCTCACTGGTGCATGGGATTCCCTATCCTCAGGGGATGCAGTCATGCTTTGTACATCCTCTGTACCTGGGAGCACATTTAGTGTACTCCATTACCCATGCCTCCAGTCTTTGGTTAGGTCTTGTAATGGCCATCACTGTCAGAATCAGCAGAGGCTGCCACTTGGCAAGCCCTCTTCTGTGCTGCGTTTCTATACACCAGGAGGTCTTCTTCACCATCATGAATGTAATGGTAATCTTAATAGCTCTCTCCTAGTGAAAGGTTTTGCAGCCCTTGCTATCTTTTCTGACTATTATCTTTCTTACTTTTCCATCTGGTGTTATTTGAAATCTTTTCATCATCTTGTGTATTATAACTAGGGGGCATCTGTTGTATTATAACTTATCCTTTAGCCTGTGTTTGAAATCTTTGATTTTCGTAGGGATTTCCCTCCCTCTTCTTTTCCCCCCACAAATTGGTACACATTCAAGATCCAAGCACATCCTTATAGCAAATTGAACTGTTTAAAAAAAAATGATTTGCTTATATTGCTTGCACGCTTATTCTAAATCTGCAATGTATATAATTGATGATAGTACCGTTATCATCCCTGCAAAAAATTAAAATATTTTGTTCTATCTTTTTACTATTTTTTATTAGTAGTATTATAAAATTATTATTATTATTTACTATTCCACTTGGTTGTTCTTACAAAGTGCTACTCGCAGATTATAGAGGCAGCAGATGAGGTGATTGGTAGTGTTGACACAGATGAATTAGCGAAGTACTTTTCTTTCAAAAGTGATCCAGAAGATGAGGGGGCTGAGGTTTGTATCTATGTTTCCATTGTCTTTTCTTCTCACTCAAAATCCTCAGGAAACTGAACTACTGAGGTATTATCTTCTTTTCTATGGAATGGTACGAGGAAGGCACGATCTTAGTTCTCTATAATTGTGGTTTCAAACTTTTTTAGTGCTACCAATAAAAACATGTAATGAACGGACATCTAGCTGTGGAGTGAGGCACTTGCAGATGTTCTCCCTTTGAGTTTGTTTTGTTGTTTGCCTGACTGGTTCATATTATAAAGTAATGGAAGCTTATATTACTTTTTTCTCTGTTATTAACAGAAAATGAAGAAGAAGATGGAGACAGCACGTGACCAATTAGCGGAAGCTCTTTACCAAAAAGGATTAGCTATGGCAGAGATTGAATCCATGAAGGTAAAGATTTATTTTCTAGTGTAATGTCTAGTGTACGCTTTTTAAATTCTGCGTAGAAGAAATGGTGATTTTATGGCCCTATCCTTGTCTTTAGGAGCCATAGGGCCTCTAAATGAATGGAAAGATGTCACCAACCCAAAGACAGTGGGTAACCAATCCAAGACCAGGAGTCCCTACTATTTAGGACAGTGGCTGGATGCTGGATGTCACCGACCTACTGTCTTTTTGTCCTTAGGCAGATTCACTAACATCCAAGTACCGTTCTTTTCTAGAGCATTCATCTCTTCCATAACTGTTGATTTCCAATTAGGATCATCCAAGGCTTCCTTAATAATTCTAGGAACAAACAGGTTAGATATTTTTGAAGTAAATGCTCTATGACTTTTGGAAAGTTTGTCATAAGATAAATATTTCGCAATGGAATGTTGGGTACATTTTCGAATTCCTTTCCTAATGGCTAGAGGAAGATCACAATCTGTGGGTATAACATTAGGTAAAACCGCTGAAGGAAATGGAGATGAAGTAGAGACAGATGATGGAGGAACCAGATTAGGAATACCCAAGGTTCTGAAAAGCGGCTGCGGTCGTCGTAACGGTGGCGGTGGCACGGTTGCGGTTGCGGGGTGTAAAGGCCGTAGCGTAACGGTTGCAGTTATTGGAACCGTGAATTTTTTTATTTTTCGCACAATTTGAAAAAAACTTACTGATATGCACATTTTTTTCCATGATCATATCTATTGGGTTTTAAAATAAATATTGATCAATTTTTGTAAATTTTTAAGTTTGATAAAAATAATAAAAGAGAGAAAACAAAAGCTGAGGGGGGACGGACACACAGGGATATATAGACACTACACTCACTCAAAGGCAAAAAAAAGGAGAGTTTTGGTTCAGCTGGGGCATGGGGAGGAGAAATGATAATAATAAAAAAATACACAACTCTCTCTCTCTCTTCATAATGCTCGGCAGTGGGGTGGTTTTTAGTGGAAAAAAAAAAAAGATATACACACACGACAGACCTCTCTCTCTGGGAGGCAACCCAGCAACACCCACTCGAGCTTGCTCTCAGAATGACTGAACCAACCTTTCTCTCTCAGAGCAGTTTGGGTTAGGGAGAAGGAGACACAAATACACCATTGGAGCTACACACACATAGGCACGATTTGAGCTACAAACACAGCCATGGGTTGAAACGGAGGGCTCTGACTTTCTTTCACTCTCGGTTGGGAGAGAGAAGACACTCAAACACACCACCAAAAGCTCTCATTAACAACACAAAGCTCATACACACAGCATATACACACACTGATACAGACATCCATCGCACACCACACCACTGCTGCCATCACCATTCACACACTGATCCACAGACCTGGCATCAACCTCTCTCTCTCTCTCTCTCTCTAACAGAGCTCTCTCAGCACCTCTCTCTCTTGGTAGCTTTGACAAAAAATACACACACTGAGATACACAACTCACTCTCCATTCACACAGCCCACATACACACTGATAGACACACACAACACACAAAGGCACACCCATGCACAGGGGCACACACCCAGCACACACACACCATTGACACAGACCACACACTCACACAACGCATGCACACGACACACACACAGACCATACACACACAGACCATGCACACACATACAAATAGAGACATGGGCTGATTCTCTCTCTCTTCTAAGTGCCATGGGCAGATCTCCTTGCTGTGAGAAAAGAACATACAAACAAAGGAGCATGGACCAAAGAAGAAGATGAACGCCTCATCAACGACAACAAAGCTCCGCGGCTGCTATAACAAAAGGTTATCGCCACCTAACTCAATAGCTCCATTCTCTTCCACCACTACGCCGTCGTTGCAGCTTCCAGGCAGCTTCCAGGCACCGTCGCTGCCTCTATCCAGTGTCACGACCCAAGCTGCTGCTCACCATCATGTGCTTCACGTCATTTTAACGATGCAGTCCCTCAGACATCCAGACAGCTACTTTAGCAACAAAACAGACCCAACAAAGAACAAGAAGCGGCCAGACTTCGTGATGGACCGGCAGTGAATTGCTCGTGGGTCGTGGCCACTGCCCCTGTCTCCGATCATAATGAGAAGGGCGGCGTGTCGCTGGTGATATCGTGTGTCGCTGGTGCGTTGCTGTGGTGTAGACATTATAGCGATCCCGATTTTCCCTCAATTGATTATAGAATTCCGGACTTGGGTTCCGTGGTGTTGGTTGTTATTATGTCTTGTTTCCGTCCTTCGATTCTTTATATATGAGTTTTAGGATGTGTTGGGCAGGTTTGTTACAGGTTGGTTGTGTTTGGGAACAAATGGTTGTTGCCCAGATTTTAGTGTCTTCGCTCGAGCGAGACTTTTGTCGCTCGAGTGAGCTCTGTGTTTTAGTTCCTTCGCTCGAGCCAGGGTTCCTTCGCTCAAGCGAGAGTTGAGTTTTGTGTCTGGTGGCTCGAGCGAGAAGTCTTGCGCTCGAGCTTGTGTCTGCGTCTGGTTCTGGACCTGAGAGTTGCATTTCTTGGCTCGAGCGAGATTTCCTTCGCTCGAGCGAGCGAGATCTATGTTTTGGGTTTCTTCGCTCGAGCAAGCTTTTTTTCGCTCGAGCGTGCTTCTGGTTGCAGACCTGAAGCTTCAAATTGTTGGCTCGAGCGAGGCTTTCTACGCTCGAGTGAGTATCCTTTGTGTCTGGTCGCTCGAGCGACCACTCCTTCGCTCGAGGTAGCCTAGTGTATTTCAGTTGACAGCAGCGGGATTACATTTCACTTTTTCATCTCCTTTTTCTCTAAAACCCTAGATCCATCCTCTCTCACTCTATACACCTTCTCTCTAAGGTTTCATCTATTTTTAGTGATCTTTTACCCTAATCTCTTTGTAAGAAAGATAGAGGGTCGCGAGAGCTTCACTTTAATCTGAAAATTTGTGGATTTGGAGCACTTCGAGTTTGCATCATCTTCTCCTTTGGTCTCTTCATTTTGAGGTAGGGATACCCTACTCCATCTTATGAGTTTTGTCATAAATTTTGGTCATTTTGATTAGTTGGTGTTGTTAGGTGATTTTTGAAAAATTTAGGGTTTGATTCGTAATTTATAAAAAGGGGGTTTTCAAAATGTTAAATCCTATGAGTATATGAGACCTTGGAAAATGAAATTATTGTTGTTGTATTGGTGAAATTGAACCTTAGGGTTGATATTGAGAATTAGGGAAAAATGCCCTAGTTATGTGATAAATTAATTTGTGGGAATATGAAATTAAGTTGGAAATTATGAAATTGGAGAATTATAAAGTTGAATGGTGGCGTTGGATAAATTAATCGCTCACCTATGAAAATGTTGATATTATATCTGTTTAATGCATTTATTCTCTGTTTAGAAATAACTGCTTTGGGCTATTGGTGGAGGATAGTCTTGATTGTTGTAGACACTGTATGTTGATTAGGGAAAATTGAAACTAATCACATTGAATATGACGATTGAAATAATACATCAAATATGTGTATTGATTGATCCTTGTATATGATGAGTGTTTATATACTTGGAATATGTGTCTTGTGTGGGAGGAGATAAGGGATGTACTCCATGGTTTGAGGGAAGATAGGGGATGGACTCTCAAACCTGTTTGGGAGGAGATAGGGGATGAACTCCATTAATACAGCAAATATGTGTATCATTTGAAGTTTGAAAGTGTTTTTAATATGAGTTGTAATCTCATGTAAATTTTGAAGTATGGAAGTGTCTTTATATGAGTTATAGTCTCATTGAATTGTTTGGCCAAGTTCTGAGCCATGTTCATGAAATGATTTGGATAAGTAAAGGAAAGTGGAATGTAATATGGACTATTTGTCATGGAACTATATTGTGATATAAATCGGTTTATAAGTGTTAACCATCTATCAAATGTTATTGTTTTAGTCATTGCTCATATTTGGTTTAGTATATCTCTACTGGGCTGTGGCTCACCCTATATGGGACATCATTTTCAGGTTCAGGTGATATGCGACCTCCAAGGACATAGCTTGGAAGGTTTTGGGAGTTGAAGACTCTTTTGCTTGTTTTGTTATTTTGGGTATTACATGTAACTTCAAGCCGAGGGCTTATTTGTATAAGAGTTAGTACTCTCTTTTTGTAACCAAGTGTTGGCTTGGAAAGTTGTAAGCCTATAGGGCATTTACTTTTGTTGTCAACATGTAATACTTTTGTAATGAATACTCTGATGAATAGAAATATGCTTTAATCTCTTATGTCTATGCATGTCAATAATGTGGGTTTATATGTATTATTTTGAGGGCATTACAGACATTGGGGCGTTGCCGGTGTTGTTCTGGTGGAGGTTTGTAACTGGGTGTGTGCTTCATGCATGCTCATGCATGCGCGATTCAATTTGTTGATGCATGCTCATGCATGTGTGGGTTATTATTTGAAAGGAGAAGGAGAAGAAGCATGTGGGTCTAGTTAGACTATCGTGGGTTTAGTTTTTATTGGTTTACGGTTTACATGGGCTGAAGTTTGTGCATACTATAATATATGCTGTGGAGTTGCAAATGGGGTGAATGGACCCACGATAATTTTGTTAAAACATGGGCTGGTATTGAGTTTGCTAAGTGAATGTACATGGGCTGGTTATATGAATTTGGGCAAATTCTTTGCCAGTGCCACGTGTTGGAATTATAAAATCATTTGAGATCATGCGTTGATGTTGATAAGGTGAGGCCCTCCATTGAAGATGAGTACATGGGGTGGATTGGATTAAAGACACACGGATCTTTGATAATTGATGAGTGGTCGAAAGACACACGGATCTTTGATAATTGATGAGTGGTCGGGGGTTTTAAAACTTTTATTTTGATTTTGAGTGTTTTGCAAGATTTTATTTTATTTTATTATTATTCTCTCCTCTCTCCCTCATTTGGATTTGTAATATTAAAGTGTTGTAATAATCCCCCACCCCGTTTCTTTCTATCCCATTCTTTAATCGCTTTCCCTAACTGTACATATGTATATATCTGACATGCCATGCATATCCATGCTTTGCATCCATGTTTCATGCATCTTGATTCGGCTAAGTTTGCATTTGTGGATTTAATCAATTCTTATGTGATTCTATGCGCTACCTCATGTTCTTGAGATGATTCACATGCCATGTTTTAGAAGCCGAATCTTTAGTTGTATCTCATGAGTGAATTACATTAGGATTCTGTATATAAGATCATACATATTTTACTAACTTTGTTTTGTAGCTGTTCAAGGGACATTTGTTTTGTAGCTGTTCGAGGGACGTCGGTCAATCTGTGAGTTTTTATGCTTTAGCATCCCATTTGTGTGTGTTTTTCTTACTATGCGTTAGCATTCTACCATGAGGCTACTTGCTTAATTGATATAACATGTTTGAATGCCTGTGGACGAAGGCTTGTTGCTTGAATTGGAATGATTCGATGAATGTACGTTTAAGCCCACTTTGGGGTGGCAAATTCACAAACTTTAAGCCCATTTGAAGTGGCAAATTCAAACTCTTTTCGACAAACAAACATGAAATTGAATTGTTCCAATTTGAGCAAACTAGTCTATACTTGTATGCTTCACAGAGTA